AAGAAAAAGCCGCAGGAAAACAGCCATAAGAGAGTAAAAATAACCATAGAAATGAAAAATCAAATCATTGAAAAGCGAGAACGAGGTGTCGGCGTGGCTGATCTAGCATTCTTATACAATCGGTCTTAATCAATGATTTGCACTATCCTCAAGAACAAGGGCAAGATTAAGGAGATAGATGCTTCACAGGGAGTTACAAGATTATCTGCCCAACGGTTACGATGCCGAAGCGAACGTATATAAAAGCAGAGGAGAATGCATTGCACGGCCACAAGCCAATGACGGACCGTTTCACGTCGCTGTTTTGTGCCTTAGCAAGCGCCGATTTGAAAATTAAACCGCTGCTTATTTACCATTCAGAAACTCTACTAGCCTTCGATAAATGAAAAATCCAGCAGAGCAGGCTAAAAGTGATGTGGAGGTGCAACAGAATGGCTTCTGTGACACGTGACCTTTTTACTGAGTGGATCAAGGAAATGTTAGGTCCTTCTGTAAAAAAAAAAAATATTTGCTTGAGATAAATCAATCCGCCACTCAATGTCTTGCTTGTTAATGATAAAGCTCCTGGCCATACTCCAAGCCTACAAGATAAATGTTCATCAAGATCCAGTCTCTGCCTCCCAACAACTCTCCGTTACTCCAGCCCATGGACCAGAAAGTTTTTTCTAACTTTAAGAAGCTCTACACTAAAGCACTCTTCGATCATTGTTTTCAGGCGACTGAAGGGACCAACCTCAGTCTCGGAGAGTTTTGGAAAAATCACTTCCACATCTTTGCTTGCCACAAGATGATCGACAAGGCGGGGAAAAGGGTTACCAAGAGAACCCTAACTTCTGCTTGGAAGAAGCTTTGGCCGAATGTGACTTTGAGGGGTTCGAGACAGTAACTGTGGAACCTGAAGTCAACGAGATTGTGTCCTTGGCCACTATCATAGGACTGGAAGTGCATAACAGTGATCTCGAAGAGCTTGTGAAAGAGCACCGCCAAAAGCTGACCACCGAAGAACTTATGAAGTTGCATTGTGTTTCACAGCAAGAAGTTTTGGAGGAAAGTTTGTCAGAGGAGGAGGAGGAGGTAACAGAAAGGTAACACTCTCCTGGAAGCATAGGGAACTGTTGCATCTTACTTTGAGGAGCATCACCCTAAAATAAGCGAGTGGCTATGCACACTGCACATTTATTTAATAATACTGTGTCGCATTTTCGCCAAATTTTGAAGCGTCAGCAAAAACAAAAGTCTCTGGACATCTTTCTAGTAAAAAAATTATTAGGTGTGTATCATAATTATTTCGATTTTTTTTTTTCTACTAATCAAATTCGCACTCCAGGTGGGTTCGTTCCGCGGTGGAGGAAAAGATGAAGACGATTCACTCTCTTTAATAAAATGTATATAATTTTCTTTGAAAAAACGCTATACGTAACATTTTGTGAGTATTTTTTCGAATTGGAAGGCATTGTCGTGTTTTACATTAATTTATATGAGAAAACTTGTTTCGCATAACGAGTGTTTCGCTTTACGAGTATAATTCTGGAATGAGTTATGCCCGTTAAGCGAGGTTCCACTGTACTCGCAAGATGCCAACCATTTTGATCTGTACCGTCACTTAGTTTTTAATACCAGAATATTGTTTTTAATTTGTCGGTCTCGAACACAGCTAAAAGACAATGTAAATAAAATATCTGTTCCAATTCAGTCATTCCCTTGTGGGATGCAGTTTTTTGTTGTTTTGAAGCCTTATCCTGGCTCTTGCCAGGGGCCGCAATATAGCCCGGCCATAAACATGGCCTAATGGCTGAACGCGGTTTCCGGGACCTCTCCACTGGTGATCCTCATCCACATGGTGGCACTTTGTGTCATCAAGTGTTTATCGCTTATGTGGTGTCCTGTGGGGTACAACTTACCCACATCCCTACCAAAAGTTGAGTGTACCAAATTTCGACTCAACTGAAGGGGGTTTGGGGACTTGTACCCAGGACCTGTTCCCCGATGATTCTTATCCCAATGGTGGTACTTTGTTTCACCAAGTGTTTATCGCCTCCTTCCCCCCCCCCCCCCCCACCCCCATCCCAAGTATTTTATCCCGAGGACCCTTCTGGATGGCACACATCCCGCAGGCACGGCGCATCAGCCTGCCAGGCAGCGGACGTAAAACAGGGAGAAAACGGATGCAGACTACTAAGAAATGTATCCCTAATCCCACACTTACTGCCGCTTCCCCCTGTTGTCCGCACTGCTCAAGAACTTTCCAGGCTCATATTGGACTAATCAGCCACCTTCGTACTCATAATCATTGACCATTACTACTGTGGATGAAAAGTGGTCTTCATTACTCGTGATAACAACAATAACAACAGGTAGAGATTGCACAAAATGTCCCAGTTGAAAACTACTGAAAACTGTGTCGGTCCCAGCAAAATCTTAAAGCTTGCAAACACAATTTAAAAATGCATAAGGCAGCTGTCAGATGTGCCGGTAGTGACTGCCCACGCCAGAATTGCAGCTCGCTGTTGGCGTAAACGGTCAATCATGTTATTATGTTAAGCCCTTGTATTTCAGTTGTTATTTTAATGACTTTAGTTGCAAACTGTATTTTTCAGGTCTGCTAGACTAAAACTGGTTGCGCTAGAAATACGAAAACTATACAGTTAAGAGTACCGAATTAAAAACTGCCTGAAAGAGGTAATGTAATAATTAACTGATATAAAAGAAAGTCAAAAATGTCCAATCTCTTTCGACTACGCAATATTTAGTGAGTTCATCTTCTTCTGCCCTTTACCCCCCCCCCCCCTCCCCCCTTCCTTTCCGTGGGTTCCAGTGTAAACAAATTCTAGTTCTATTTGTATTATCCCCCGGTTTTCTCACCGTGTGTCCTATGCAGCTACATCATCTTTTCTCCAAATCTTGATTCGCTGTAATTTGTTTATATCACAAAGCTTTACATTTGTGACTCTTTCATACCATTTAATTTCTTCTGTATTGGGAAGGCACCAGATAATGAATGTTTATAGTGTACTGGTAGCTGTTTTATCAGTTGTCCATGTTTCAGCTCCCTTTAGCAATACCAATTTGACATTAGAGTAAATTATTTTATATATGACGAACTGCATTGTCCTAAAAGTGTTACATCAAGGAAATCACTTGTTAGTATACTTTGCCATATGTCGAACAGTTTTAGGCAAACAAACACGATTTTATCTGTTGGGCTTGAGATCTCTATGCCCTTCTAGTTCTGTGCTTCCTTCTGTTGATTTTTTTTAACGGTAATCAGATAAGAATATGAAGATACGTTTCTCAGGACAAAACACTTGGCTACCTGGTGCCTTGTGGATACAGTTTATACACACTAACAGAGCTGTCCTACTTTCTGCTTCACACTGGTCACTGTTTGTTTTTTACAGGTATGTCACGGAGTACATTGCGTGGCTCTATCTATCCGTCCGTCTGTGTGTTAACTGTATATCGACCTGTGTGTCTGTTAATTGTCTTTCTGTACGTATGTTTGTTATCTATCCTTCTTTCTGACTATTAACTGTCTGCTAACTGCCTATCTGTCTTGTGTCTCTGTCTGTCTGTCTGTCTGTCTGTCTGTCTGTCTGTCTGTCTGTCTGTCTGTCTGTCTGTCTGTCTGTCTGTCTGTCTGTCTGTCTGTCTGTCTGTCTGTCTGTCTGTCTGTCCGCCCGCCCGCCCGTCCGTCTGTCTGTCTGTCTGTCTGTCTGTCTGTCTGTCTGTCTGTCTGTCTGTCTGTCTTCTGTCTGTCTGTCTGTCTGGCTGGCTGGCTGGCTGTCTGTGTTATTTATGCATGTTAACTGTCTAACTCTCCGTATTTCTGCTAATGCCTATCTGTCTGTCTGTCTGCTAACTATCTATCTTTACATCTGTTAACTGTCCGTATGTCTTCTGTCTGTCCGTATGTCTTTTGTCTGTCTGCCTGTTTTCTTGTCAACCTATCCATTGGTCTCCTGTCTGTACATCTTTCTGTATCTGTAGCTTTGCCTCTCTCTCTCTCTCTCTCTCTATATATATATATATATATATATATATATATATATATATATATATATATATATATATATATATATATATACTCCTCGTGTCTCTGTTGACATATAAGGCATTCACAAGTTATCTCCATTGCTGCCGGTCTGCTAGCTGCTTTTCTGCCCGTGGTATTCCATGTCGTCCACGTCTCCTTTTCCCATCTGCTGTCCGCCGGAGAGCTGTTTTTGTCAAATATACATATATATATATATATATATATATGGGTGTGTGTGTGAGTGTGTGTGAGTGTCGCTGCCACATCGAGGCTGCCAGCCCACCGACCTGTATGTATGTATGACTGATTCCTCTTTTCTTTTTCTTATTTCCTCTACTCGATGAATGCCTCGCGGCCTCAGGGCAGAAAGAAATCTCTGGAACGGGCCCCTCTGTTCGCTTTGTATAAAGTACTTTCTAGTGTATCAGATATTTCTGCAGGTCCATCTTCTGCGTGGTCGACCTCTGGGTGTCTGTAACTGCTGTATCTGTGTAACATTGCTCTGTTTGTTGCCCTGTATAATGATTGTTACATGGTCACAGCATATGATTTGTTGTCTACCTATACAGTTTAGTACTGGTTCTGTGTCAACTCTTCTAGAGATATCATCGTTCCTAAGTCGATCTTTCCTCGTTACACTCAGCACAGTACGTAAACATTTAATCTCTGTCGTCTATTTTCTGCTTCTGTCCTAGTTGTTGTAGTTATTGTTGGTTTTGCTGTTGTACTAGCAGTAGAGAACTCCTGATTGTTCCTGTGTGTTGTCTCCTTTCCCTTTCCCAATCCTGTGTGTTTTCCCCTTTTCCCAATCCTGTGTGTTTTCCCCTTTCCCAACCTTCTTAATCTTCTTAATCACGGTTCATTGGATTACTTTCTTGATACAAACTTGACTGCAATCACCCCCCTCCCCTTCTTCCCCCTCTTCCCCCTTTCGTTCTTGTTTTCATCACAGTTTCCACCCGTCCCGATGTCCACAACAACCTACTTCCTTCTATGGAACCTCCTGGTAACCTCCCTGCTGACCACAGTGTCCAGAGGCGAGACGAATGTACCAGTCACCGGTCACTGGTTTGATGGATTCCAAGCCGAGGCTTGCATCCCTATAACCAAAGAGCTCAGAGGCTGGAAAGCCCACCTCAAGTTCACAGAGGAAGTTCACTCCATTGACATCTGGGCTGCCGTCGCTACGAAGATCACCGCGTATGAATACCTGCTGGAGAATCAAAACTACAACGGCGAAGAGCATGTCGGGGACTCCCTGTGTTTCAGCTTCGTTGGTCATGTGACGGGAAATGTTGTTCCCAAGATAACTATCTATATTGAAGGAATGGATAGTCCTGGAAGCACCAGCGCTCCTCAACCCAACCCTACACTTGCACCAACAAGCGGTACTCGTCCCAACACTACGCCTGCTCAAAGCACAGGTAAGATCTCAGACGACCATTATAGTTTTAATTTACATTTTTATATTGCTTATGTAATACTTGTTGACATTCTGAACTTTTTTAACATCAAGGAAGATTGACAAATACACAGCATCCTGTCTTGGGAGCTGAAATATTTTGATTATATCAAGCGCAACGACGGATTGATTTTTAACTCCTAATTTTGCCCGGGCAGCGCCGTTAGGTTACTCTTTTCGATTCCTAACTGCCAGTATAATTTTTACAATGCACACGGGCGTCCGATCTCACTACCCAGAGACCAGGTGGAATTACTAGAAGTGCAAGTCCACGTGAAAAAATCCCAACCCTTAGAGGGGATTGAACCCGCAACCTAAAGCACTTAAGGCGGGCACCATGCCTCGAGACCACGCAGCCCCCTAGAATGGTGGTAGAGACTGCGAGCCCTATGCGACATGTAATAGCACACCAGGGCGATGAATGAATGAAAATTAGAAAAAATGTGAAATCTGTCGACAAATGCTTGTAGAGTTGATGTACATTACGAAAGACATCTGTTTATTTTCCTAACTTCGTCCTCCTTTCGTCTACCAGCTGTCATCTCTACGAAAAGTTCTGGTTGTTCGTCCAACTCTGACTTCACTCTTGTTCCAGAACTTAAGTGTTGCATTAACATCCGTTTTACATATATGTTGTATACAGACTGTTGGTTAGTTAGTCGACTCCTATATCATGCTTGTTGGGAGGGCATTGTGTCGATTCTTGTTTCCCCCCCACAATGGTGCTCGGGAACGAACGCGGGAAAACCTTCTCGCAAATGATTTGGTAGGTTCATTCTGAAGCTACCTGCATTGGGAAAAGGGGGGGGGGGTGGTGGAAGGAGTCAGGGGTGGGGAGAGCTTGAGGGGCTGAGCCTTTATGGTCTGGCCCCTCACACAGACCCCAAACAGGACGTTGAGGTCTTCGCTGGGTTGCTTCTGTCAGCCATATTATTTCTGCCTGACGGAAAATGTGTCAACAGTCATCAAAGACGTTCTCTTCCATTAGTTTGTTTTCGCGCACCTATTGACAGAAACTCAAATTCTAAATGAAGACCGAAGTCCAGGAGTGGACCAATAACCAAAACATATTATCATGAGAGTTAACAGCTGGTAAACGATTGGAAGAAAACCAACCTGAATCATCCGTGTATCTCGTCTGATAATCCCCTTTTTCAGGAGGCGGCACTGCAAACAAAGACTACAAGGACGCATTGGCTAAATCAATCCTCTTCTACAACGCCCAGCGATCAGGAAAACTCCCCGCCAATAACCCTATCACATGGCGTGGGGACTCCGCGTTAAACGACTGTGTACCTGGAGGTTGGTGAGTAGTTGAACGACTGTGTACCTGGAGGTTGGTGAGTAGTTGAACGACTGTGTACCTGGAGGTTGGTGAGTAGTTGAACGACTGTGTACCTGGAGGTTGGTGAGTAGTTGAACGACTGTGTACCTGAAGGTTGGTGAGTAGTTGAACGACTGTCTACCTGGAGGTTGGTGAGTAGTTGAACGACTGTCTACCTGGAGGTTGGTGAGTAGTTGAACGACTGTCTACCTGGAGGTTGGTGAGTAGTTGAACGACTGTTGTAGTAGTTGCACCGACTGTCTGGAGGTTGGTGAGTAGTTGAACGACTGTGTACCTGGAGGTTGGTGAGTAGTTGAACGACTGTCTACCTGGAGGTTGGTGAGTAAGGTTGAACGACTGTGTACCTGGAGGTTGGTGAGTAGTTGAAACGACTGTGTACCTGGAGGTTGGTGAGTAGTTGAACGACTGTGTACTGAAGGTTGGTGAGTAGTTGAACGGACTGTGTACCTGGAGGGTGGTGAGTAGTTGAACGACTGTGTACCTGGAGGTTGGTGAGTAGTTGAACGACTGTTTGTAAGTGGAGGTTGGTGAGTAGTTGAACGACTGTGTACCTGGAGGTTGGTGAGTAGTTAGTGAACGACTGTGTACTGGAGGTTGGTGAGTAGTTGAACGACTGTGTACCTGGAGGTTGGTGAGTAGTTGAACGACTGTGTACCTGGAGGTTGGTGAGTAGTTGAACGACTGTGTTAAGTGTGAGGTTGGTGAGTAGTTGAACGACTGTGTACCTGGAGGTTGGTGAGTAGTTGAACGACTGTGTACCTGGAGGTTGGTGAGTAGTTGAACGACTGTGTACCTGGAGGTTGGTGAGTAGTTGAACGACTGTGTACCTGGAGGTTGGTGAGTAGTTGAACGACTGTGTAAGTGGAGGTTGGTGAGTAGTTGAAACGACTGTGTACCTGGAGGTTTTTTTTTTTGTGAGTAGTTGAACGACTGTGTAAGTGGAGGTTGGTGAGTAGTTGAACGACTGTGTAAGTGGAGGTTGGTGAGTAGTTGAACGACTGTGTGTAGTGGAGGTTGGTGAGTAGTTGAACGACTGTGTAAGTGGAGGTTGGTGAGTAGTTGAACGACTGTGTAAGTGGAGGTTGGTGAGTAGTTGAACGACTGTGTACCTGGAGGTTGGTGAGTAGTTGAACGACTGTGTAAGTGGAGGTTGGTGAGTAGTTGAACGACTGTGTACCTGGAGGTTGGTGAGTAGTTGAACGACTGTGTAAGTGGAGGTTGGTGAGTAGTTGAACGACTGTGTAAGTGGAGGTTGGTGAGTAGTTGAACGACTGTGTAAGTGGAGGTTGGTGAGTAGTTGAACGACTGTGTACCTGGAGGTTGGTGAGTAGTTGAACGACTGTGTAAGTGGAGGTTAGGTGGTGAGTAGTTGAACGACTGTGTAAGTGGAGGTTGGTGAGTAGTTGAACGACTGTGTAAGTGGAGGTTGGTGAGTAGTTGAAACGACTGTGTAAGTGGAGGTTGGTGAGTAGTTGAACGACTGTCTACCTGGAGGTTGGTGAGTAGTTTGAACGACTGTGTGTACCTGGAGGTTGGTGAGTAGTTGAACGACTGTGTAAGTGGAGGTTGGTGAGTAGTTGAACGACTGTGTACCTGGAGGTTGGTGAGTAGTTGAACGACTGTGTACCTGGAGGTTGGTGAGTAGTTGAACGACTGTGTAAGTGGAGGTTGGTGAATAGTTCAACGACTGTGTACCTAGAGGTTGGTGAGTAGTTGAACGACTGTGTAAGTGGAGGTTGGTGAGTACTTAAACGACTGTGTACCTGGAGGTTGGTGAGTAGTTGAGCGGCTGTTTACCTCGAGGTTGGTGAGTAGTAGTGAGTGGTTCAACGACTGTGTACCTGTATGTTGGTGAGTACTTGAACGACTGTATATCTGAAAGCTGAGTACCTGTGTTTACAACACCACCTTCTTTAATTTCTTCTTCGTGAACGGTCTCCACTCCTAAATGGTCAAGCTTTTTCGCCTCATGCTATGAAGGTTGTAAGTTCTTTTTCATTTGTAATTTTTAAGGACAGCAATAGAGATCGCAACTAGATCTATGGAGTTCGTGCTTGTTAGAGACCTTAACGGTTTTCGGCTAGCATCCAGCGGAGAAAGACTGAGCCCATATGGGATGTATCCAGGGTGCAATGAAGTTAATCCTTCTTACTTTCATTGTCGGCTTTTGAACTTTCTTCTTGACACTTTTTCAAGTGTTGCCTCTATATTTAAAGTAAGCGGCAGGTTTTTCGTTTAGGTTGTTTGGCGTTGCAAAATCATCTATACTGCATGTCTAGAATACCGATAAGTACTTCGACCTTTTCCTAAGCATTTTTTTTTTTTTTTTCGGTGTCTCTATGTTACGACTCCTTTCCTTTCTGAATTTGTTGATGTAGCGAATGTGGACTTCAGTACGGTTGATGTTAGGGAATTTACTTTTATATTGCACACATACTGTATTTCGCTTTTCTAAAAGTTTATTTACATTGTGTTAAATGGTGATTTGGATTTTTCTTATTGATCGTTTGCGCTAAACAACGAGCTGCACTTTTGGCGTGGGAATGTTAAAGTTGGCATATCTGTCGTCTGCCTTATACATGTTACTTTGTCTGTGCAAGCTTGAAGATTTTGCTGTGACTGAATTTCAAATGGGTCGGTGAAGGACATTTGATATGATTCTACAGGAATAAGATCGAAGCAGTTGTGGGGTCACCCGTCTGCAGTGATATTGGAACCTCGACGACCTCTTTCTACAGCTAAATATAGCTCAGCAGTTATCTGGTTGGAGTTTAAACTAAGTAACCCAAGCTGCTGCTTCTTCGTCTTCTTCTTCTTGTTCTTCTTCTTCTTGTTCTTCTTCATCATCTTCTTCTTCTTCTTCTTCTTCTTCTTCTTCTTCTTCTTCTTCTTCTTCTTCTTCTTCAGCATTCCGAGCCTTTGAGGTTCATTGCTGCAGATATCATCTGTCTCCACTCATCCCTCTGGTTGGCCTTTTCTTTCCTGTAAGTTAAACCAAGTGTTTGCAGGTCTTTCTGGACATTATCTCTCCATCGTCTTCTTGGCCAAGTAGTCTACGACCATTCATCTCCATTGTGTACACAGCTTTTACTTCTTTGTCATACGCAACTAACTTTATACAGCCAGGCAGCCAACACATTTTTACTCACAATCGTCCAAACAGGTATGATGCTGGAGACCATGTCAAATTCGGTCTACCGATGGCCTCCGCAGCTACTATGCTTCTTTGGTCGCTATACTCTTTCAAAGATGGATATACGGAAGCCAAGACTCTGGACGCCATGTATGATATGATCAGATGGCCTCTCGACTACTTCCTGAAGGCGTGGAACCCAAACACCAAGCGCTTGGTGGTGCAGGTGGGAGATGGCGACGCTGATCACAGCTACTGGGGTAGGCCGGAGCAGATGACAATGGCTCGGCCATGCCAGGAAGTTAGCACTTCGTCACCAGTAAGTTCTTATTAAAGAATGTCTTGTGTTGAGTCTTTAGAGGTTAGGCTGAGACCTGGCATCACGGCATTTAGCACACTCCCATAAGCGCTCTATCCTCAGCTTCAGCAACCGGTGTGGTATAGGAACAACACGCTTGGCTGCCGGTCCGAAGGTCATGAGTTTGAGTCCGTTTCGAGGCAGATCCTGTTATAAAATTACCTTGGCTCGGATGTCGACCCAGTCTACAACAGGTACCGGGAATTGTCTTGGGAAAGAAGTCATCCATTATGACGTATTTTGCATAACACAGCGAGTGATCTGAACCATAAAAATATGGATCTATGCGGAGTTACCAGGGGGATCTGGCCGACGCTCAACACTCATAGGAAAAGCGAGACGGATGTTCAAATGTATTGTTACTGTTACCATCGGATTTGGAATTCTTCGTTTGCTGCTAAATGTGGGGACGGAGCGCTTATGGAAGAGTCGCGGGTATTATCATGTAGATTCTTAATTCGACATTCATTCAACAACAACATCAGCTTATACTACTACTATTACTAGTACCACTGTACTACTTGTGCTACTACTGCTACAATAAAACTACTGTTAGTACTACTGCTGATACAACAACAACTTTTACTACTACTATTACTTCTGCTAATACTACTACTGCTACAACTACTACTACTGCTACAATAAAACTACTGTTAGTACTACTGCTGATACAACAACAACAACTTTTACTACTTCTATTACTTCTGCTAATACTACTACTGCTACAACTACTACTACTGCTAGAACGCCTAATACTATTACTACTACTATTGTTATTATTATTATTATTGGTGCTGCTGCTTCAACAACAGCAGCTACTACCACTGCTGCTGCTGCCGCTACTACTGCTGCTAGAACAACAATAATGGCAACAACAGCTACTACTGCTGTGCTGTGGCTACTACTACCACTACAGCAAGAGCAACAGCAACTACTGCTAACTGCTGTTGTGGCTACTGCTATGATTATCTTCAATGTCTATTGCTACCTCTTCTTCTTAATTTTCGTGTTCGTCTATTACTACTACTACCACTTCCACAACCACCACCACCACTACTACTATATCTCTACTACCGCCAATATCACTTCTGCTAATATTGCTGGTACCATTACTAACACTACAACTACTACAATTACGTTACTATACCATACATGTTAGTCACAACCGACCCTAACATAACTTTCAAGATATACCACTATATGTATAATGGTGAGCGCTTGTAGGGGTGTCCCGAGTACTGTGGTGTTGATTCTTGATTCAACATTCAGCATTTGTTAGTGAAATGTAGATTGGTGGAAGTTTCCCCCCCCCCTTCCTTAATGATTCTTTTGTTTTATCTTTGTAGGGCAGCGACGTAGCCGGAGAGACAGCAGCCGCCTTGGCACTTGGAGCAATCACGTTCAAAGACAAGGGGGACACCACCTACGCCACCCAACTTCTGACAGCAGCCGAGAGTCTGTACGCCTTTGCCAAGAGCAGCAGGTTTGTAGCTTTAAATAAAGTAAAAATGTAAAGTTCCCTTTTCGCGCTTTAAGCACATCGGGCATATGGGAAGAGCTCCCATATATTTACAATTCGCACTAGGTGGGTAATGTGGTCAGCATTACGCCGGCCGTCTTTACTTTCCTAGGACATACATCCTGGTACCCATTTTAGGCTGGGTCGACCTGCGACACCCTATTCAATGATACAAATTAGTTATAGTGTCTCCTGTCTTGGTCTCGAAGACGGTATAGACGGGATTGATCAAGCTTTACTTCCTGGTCACGCATTCGCGTTAGCGTCACAGAATCTTCTTTATTCACCAGCCTAGTCCATACAACGCTGATGAAATGAGCTCCGTCCGTGCTTCTTTCAGCATGCATTGGGGCATTACTTGCCATCTGGCCGTCTCTTCCATGGAGGTGATGGATGTTCACTGCCACTTTCCAAATACTTGCAGATTACAAACACCTACCATTTTGTACAACCGAGGTCAATTCTAGCGCACAGAAACTACCAGGATCTCGCATTCTACAGAGAACAATTCTACAAAAGATGAATCCACTATTCTCATCTACACATATTCTCATGTCCTTGCTACAAACTAGCAACTCTTGGAATTCCCTCCCTAGCTATTAAATGCCAGCTAACTGTGAGTACCACCTAAGCTAATTACACAACATCAGATAATAACCACCAGTAACATATTACTATATACCAGCCTCAACAGCTGAACTTGAAAGAAAGATACAAGCATTAGAAATCCGATGTTTCAGAAAACAGTTTTGGCATATTATACAGAGACCACATAACAAACGAAGAGGTTCCCATAAAACTATACAGCCCATTTGCAACTATGAACCTCTTTTAACTACAATGAAAAGGCGACAAATGCAGTGTTATGGACATGTCATAAGATCTAACGACCTCTCAAAAACGATACTACAGGGCTCAGTAGAGGGAAAGAGGAGAAGAGGCAGACCAAGAAAGACCTGGTTACCGAACCTGACTGACTGACTGGACAGGCCTCAAGCATGCAGCCATGAAGTCCATTTCAACTGACCGCCAAAGGTGAAGAGAGATGATCAGACAGTCAACAGAAACTGGTGACCCAACGACACAGAGTGTTACGGAATGATGATGGTGATGATGAACTAGCCAACCACAGCCAACTTTGACCTCCCCTCCATCCCCCCCCCCCCCCCCCCCACAAAAATCTCTTTCCATCCTTCTACTTCTTTCTATGAGTACCAATCAATATATGTTTTATTTATATATTATATATAATAATTACATGTCCTGGTTATTTCTATGGATAAATAATTGCTTTAAATAAAAAAAAGATCTTGACCCTCAAGTCGAACTAGGCAAAAATTGAAACTAGAAAATGTCATAAACGGTCAAGGAACTGACTAACCATGCCTATCATTTACTTCACTCAGGACGTTCCCATAAACGCTCCGTCCTCATTTTCAACTGCCAACACCCAGTTGCAGTTCTGACAGTGTCGGTAGCATCTGTATCATGCCTTTCCCTTGAGTGTAGAGTGTGGCCCAGATCTACTGGACACTTCTAGCTGGACCATTCTCTCCAGACTATAATGATCTATTTATGTCTCAATATATTCAGTTATTTAAAGTCACTTTAAACGTGTTTACGTTTTCCATACACAGGGGTGTGTTTGCCGGAGCCAGTCCGTTTTATGTCTCTAGCGGGGACAAGGACGAGCTGTGTGTGGCTGGAGTGTGGTTGTACAGGGCCACTCGCAACGCTCAGTATCTGAATGACGCAAGAGGCTTCTCAGACGGTGCTTACATCTGGGCCCTTAGCTGGGACGATAAGAAGGTATGATTGATAAAATTATGTCGGTTATGATTTTGCAGAAGAATATGAAGGAGGAGGAAGAGGAGGACGGGAAAGAGAATAAGAAGCAGTACTAGTAGTAGTTGTGGTTAATGTTGTAATAGTAGCCGTAGTAGTTGTACTAGCAGTAGTGATAGTGGTACTAGTAATGGTAATAGTAGTAGTGGTTATAGTGGTAGTAGTGGTAGAAGAGTAGTAGTAAAATAGTAGTAGTAGCAGCAGTAGTAGTAGCAGTAGCAGTAGCAGTAGTAGTAGTAGTAGTAGTAGTAGTAGTAGTAGTAGTAGTAGTAGTAGTAGTATATTAGTAAAGTAGTAGTAGTAGTAGTAGTAGTAGTAGTATAGTAGTAGTAGTAGTAGTAGTAGTAGTAGTAGTAGTAGTAGTAGTAGTAGTAGTAGTAGTAGTACTACTACTAGTAGTAGTAGTAGTAGTAGTAGTAGTAGTAGTAGTAGTAGTAGTAGTAGTGTTGGTAATGGTGGAGGTGGTGGTGGTAGTAGCAAATAGTAGTAGTGATGAAATTGTAGAAGTATAACAGAAGTAGTAATAGTAGTAGTAGTTGTTGTGGTGGTAGTAGTTGAGAAGTAGTAGTATTAGTAGCAGTAAAAGTAGTGTAGTTGTAGAGATGGTGTTGGTAGTGGTAGTAGTAGAGAAGGATAATGAGCAGTAGCAGTAGCAGCAGCAGCAGTAGTAGTAGTAGTAGTAGTAGTAGTACTAGTAGTAGTAGTAGTAGTAGTAGTAGTAGTAGTAGTAGTATAGTAGTAGTAGTAGTAGTAGTAGTAGTAGTAGTAGTAGTAATAGAAGTAGTAGTCGCAGTAGTAGTAGAGTAGTAGCAATAAGAGTTGTGCTGTTAGTAGAAGCACACCTAAAAAGTAGATGCGTAATATCATAATGTGAGGAAATTATAATGAGTTTTAAACGGAATTATCATCTACATCATCATCGTCATCATCATCATCATAATCACCATCATCATAACGTTGCACAGATACACGGACTGGTTCTCTGCAGTAACTTTCTTGTGCATCCCTAACTTCTCCCAGTCCAACCCCACGTCCAGGTCGCGATAATCTGTAGAGTGTGTCTTTGTGCTATGGGACGCTAGAGTAGTCATGAATGCGATCCTGGATCACCCCGTAAAATCTTAACCATCGGGGCTCTGGTTAAATTGCAACAGACCTAGCAAGCCGACAATGTATTTATTATCGCTACAGGGGGGCAAACGAGAATTGAACCTTAGATCTCTCTAGAGACCCGAAGCGGTAAAATAGGAAGTGAAGAAAAAAGGGCATTCCCTAAGACTAAAAACTTCATACAAAAAAAGGTCAAGGTAAAGTCGGGAGATGTGAACCAGCGTCATTGCACACGTCATAAACCATAAGTGCTCTGCCAACAGTACAGACAGCTGATAAGAAACTGTCCGCACGAAACTCCGTAGCTACAGCAACGCTCCTTCATTTACTACAGAGTGGTAACTCTGTTGCCCATTTCCTAGAGACTGGATGAACCCCGGAAACCGCCCGGTTTCAAACAGTGGCCGTGGGTTGCAGCCAGTCGCAGATGAATTTGAAAGTGAATCTCCTATTGACTGCGCTAACGCATCCCTAAAAACTTGATACAATCTAGAACCCGTCTCTCTTGCACAGGCTGCCTGCCAGGAGCTCCTGTACGAAGAGACCAAAACCAGCAGCTACAGAGATTCCGTCAACAGTTTCCTACAAACCTGGCTACCAGGAGGCAGTGTTGCCTACACTCCTTGCGGTCTTGCATGGAGGGATCAGTGGGGCACTACCAGGTTGGCCTTCTTCCTATTGCTGCCTGTGTTTATTACTACGCTTTTCCAGTACTAGGAGTTGAGTCGAATTTAGATATAAGCTACACAGTTTGTCTCAATTAAATTATGTTTTTCACCTTCATAAATGCAATTTTCTTTTAATATATAGTGGTAATTGGGTATAGATCCTGTATCTGTTCTAAATCCTTGGACGCGTACCAAACGAGTTTTTTTTCCATTACAGATAATAATGATTCATTCTATTATTTCTGGCATATTATATACATTGATGGAGTTGGGTTCTTTACCACTGTCCTACCCCAAACAGACAGTCAAATATTTTAGGGGGTTGTAGATAAGCTGCATGCAATCGTGGGACCTAGGCTGCATGCAGTCGTGGGACCTAGGCTGCACTCTCTCGTGGGACGTAGGTTGGTTGGGTTTAGGCCCAGTTCTTGATGTTTTGGGGTAGTTAAAGGCATAGGAAAGCCGGGAAACCCACTCTTACCACCCAAAAAAATATTGAACTATCTTGTGACGTCATCCTGGGTGGGGAAGGGGCGAGAGATTGGGAAAGCACGACACTGCTTACAAACTGGCAAGAGGTTGTGTCATGGTATTCAATATGGCAGTTAGCCGCTTTACGTGTGTGCTGGTAAAATACCTTATGTAACAATTCTACGAGTGTATAGCCAATTTATCGTGTCCGACTACTGACATCAACAACAAACTGCATTTCTGGTGGCCACTGTTGGCTTTGGCACCTCTAGGACCTGCCATGTGCATTTACTGCGTGTGAATATTCCTGGATTGTGCCGGGATTAATTGTTTGTACACCATTTTGTTTTTGTTTTTGTTTTTAGATGAGACAGTGGGGGACATTTCATTTGATTTGCGCTGGCACAGAAAGGGAGCAGTATGGGGATACCCGATTGCAGTGAAGTTGAAATCTTGACTATGACTTCTTCTTCTGCGTTCGACATCAGTCATGCTAACATTGAGTCCCGTCTGGGTCACAAATAGGATTGTGTGTTTAAGGTCGCCACCGGTACCCCATAGCTTCTCTCCCAATGTGGCTCCCTTGGGCCAGATCCACTGGCTTGGCTGGGAGAGGGAAGGGCAGTATTGCAGTATGTGCTCAGGGGTCTGTCTTTCTGTTCCACAATCACAGGCAGCAGATTCTTTTATGCCTATCCTGTACAGGTGTGCTAGACTAAGACTAAAACAAAGGCTTAATACTAAAATACATCAACAGTAAAATGAAAAAAATGAAAGTGTAACCTCACTTCACCTTGCTGAGAAGAGTCGAGTGCCTACTCAGATAGGGCTGAGTAGGGAAGGTGAAAAGGGTGTTGTTTGAAAGGATAATTCCACCTTTCGATTAAACTTGTTTTCTATC